TGCTTCGATGTTACTTACACTGCACACATTGGCCATCAACTATTCCGCGAATGGTGTCAATGGGAAATTTCACTTCTTATCATAAAGCATGAAGTAATTGTCAAAAAGAATGATCATGGACCTTGGGAAGAAACTAATGCTTATCTTTGTAAAAGTAATAGTGACGAAACAACTTAAGCTAACTTGTGCAGGTTTTTATCCAGGAAATGGGTGCTCGGGCTTTTATAAGGATTGAGTGCTTGTTTATTTTTATCTAGGAAAAGTGTGCACGGGGTTTAGAAGCACGGTGGGATTTTATCACTCAAGCTAGGTCTTTTTGGTGGCTCCGGTAGCCACTTGACCAAATTTAAATATCTTATATTGAGGTCTTCAATCTGTTGGGTTGGATGAGAGAATGATCCGGGTTAGATTCCCTTCAAAATTGGTATTTTCGTTGTTGCTTCTATTGGGGAAGTTTTGAGGGCAAAATTACACTGTTTACTGGTATAAACCCCCCCCCCCCCCTTTTGACATATCATTCTATTCCTAACAATTGTTTGCATTTTATCCTTACAATCATTCTTTTTGGCCATTACAGGTATGCAGACCAATTAGCTAGTGGGAGATATTTTTAAATGGAGTTGCAGTGTTAAATACCTTGTATTTTCTACCGCATAGTTTGTAAGAATAGGTATCATCTCTTTGAGGAATGTGGTTTCTCTATACATTTATGGAAAAGGTTTCTTGATCCTTGTAACAATGATCGGGCAATTGGTTATTTTGGAGTTTGATCTTCGATGAATGCTTATACATGCAAAAGGAAATTATTTTGGAGATTTATAGTTCAGATTTGGAATGTACCATTTAACATGTCTTGATTGTTTGGAAGAAGAGACACTATGCTTGTGCAGATAGGACTAAGGATGCTTGAATGATATTCATCATACCATTAGATGTAAAGTAAGTTGTTTTTCAAGCACAACTCATTCTAGAAAAAAATGTGAGATTTGTTATGATTGGTGTTTGTGCTTTAATATTCCTAGCACTCTTTAAGAATCATTATTGTATATATTTTACAGTTTTCATTGTTGATGTACTATGTTGTTTTGGATGATAAAATAAGTAAACCTTGTGCATTTGGCAATAATTTCCATAAACCTCAAGGGGCTATCTTCTAGTATTGATTGTACTTTTTTTCCCCTTAATTGGTGCAGAGAACAGACTATGGTTTCAACCAGAAAATATTGGAAATGGTTCAGTTGGACAAGTTGGTCCCAGCCCACGAGCATTTCATGCTGCTGTTGCAATTGATTGTCATATGTTCATATTTGGCAGCCGTTCTGGTAACAGAAGGTATGCAAGCTTCAAATGTCCGTACAAATCTATTTGTTTTGTTGCTCAAACATTTCTAGACACATGCTATTGATGATGGTTTTAATATCCAGGTTATGTGACTTTTGGGTCCTTGACACTGGTAAGATTCTGTTTCAATTATCTTGGTGTAAGCTTCTCAAACCTTATTTTTAACCTGTTTAACTAATTGAATATATTGTTTCTAGATATATGGCAATGGTCAGAGTTAGCAAGTTTTGGTGTCCGACCTTCATCATGGGATTTCTCTGCAGCTGCAGCTATTGAAAATCAGAAAATTGTTATGTATGGTATTCTTGGATTCTCAACTACTCTGATTGTTTGTCTACGTACACTATATTTTTCAAGCAGTGATGATTTGAGTGCAGGTATGGCGGTTGGGATGGTAAAAAGTGGTTGATAGATGCATATATCTTGGACACAAGTTACTTCTTCGCTCTGGGGTTTTATTTGTTCTCCTTCTTCCTTCATTAAGTTACTTATCCCTGCATTGTAAGACGACATATTAAGCAACAAGAGGATGTTCATGAACAGTATCTCACTCGAGTGGACGAAACTTTCAATTACTAGATCACCGCCACCACCTAGATGCGACCACACAGCGACTATGGTTGAGAAACGGTTGCTTGTCTTTGGTGGCAGAGGTGAAGTTCTTTTATAGCAGACCTATTGTTATATTGTTCATAAAGTAATAATGGGAACATATTGTTTATAGCAGACCTATTGTTACATTGTTCATAAAGTAATAATGGGAACATATTGTTACATTGTTCTTTCATAGCAGACCTATTGTTACATTGTTCATAAAGTAATAATGGGAACATATTGTTTATGTTAGAAGCAAAGTGGCATTTTATGTCTTCTTGATGATATACATCTTTGATACTTGTTTACCAGGAGCATGCTTGGTTTTGGAAAACATTATTTTTTTTCGTTTGATTGAGCTCACATGGGCTCTTTTTAAACTTTGACAGGTGGTGCTGGGCTGATTATGAGTGATTTATGGGCTTTGAAAGGTCTTATTGAAGAAGGTTTGTATTTGAATTTACTTTTCCATTTTAGTAGTGCAGATAAACAATATTTCTTTAATGAAATTATTGAATAGTAATTTCCTCGGTAATATTTATATTATTCTTGAAATTTGGTTTTTAAAATGTAAAAGAGCTTCCTACTTAATTCTATATATATAATTGCTTTCACTATCCCTTGATGAGTTACTTGGTCTAATTTGAAAGATGCTTGATTCTCTATGAAATGATTTCTTAGTAGTGCTCTTGTACAAGATTAAGCTAGCTTCCCTAGTGCCTGTCCAAATATTTAAGGGAACAATAACATGAATCCTGAAATCGATTTTATGGATATTTGCAATTTTCCCTTCCATTATGATGATAATTTTTCATGTAATTGTTTCTTCTTTTGAAAATTTTACAGGCAATCTTACTACATGTTTTCTTTGTAACATCCCAAAATTCAAGTTAGGAGTTTTGGGCTAAACCCAGAGAGAGTTTGGATAAACCCATTGGTTGTGAGGAAGCCTTGGTCCAAGGTTTTATTGGTTTGGGCTTGAGTTGAGCCCACTATGTTAATAATAGGGGTATTTTTAACCTTATCATGAAGGTGGGAGGACTAGAAGAACAAATAACCCTTCTTTTAAACCAAGCTTAAGACGAAAGATGTGTTGCATGTTTTACGTGATTGCTCAAAAGCTCGGAGGTGTTGGAGTTCTTTGATTCGATAGAATGCATTCCAATAGTTTTTACTCGTTGTCTATGAAGGATTGGTTTCGGAGACTATACGACAACCAGGTCAGTTTGTAGATCAACATGATACATGATCAATTATGTTTCCTATTCTTTGTTGGATGTTATGGACTAGACATAATAAAATACTTTTCGACTTTGAGTTTACTGAGAAAGAGGATATTGTTAAACTGAGCGTGGAGTACATGAAAGATATTAAAGGTGCTAGTCGAAATTCTACTTAATGTATTTCTTTAGCGGAAGTTAAGGGATCAAGCTCTAATTCTTAAAGGAGGCCAACGAAGGGTTGGTTTAAAATTAATATCGATGCTACGGTGGATATGGCCGATGACCAAGCTATCGTAGGATGTGTGTTTTGCTTGGATCAAGGTGACTAACTCTTTGGCTCCTCTTGAAGTGCAAGTAAATGTTCAGTGTTGAATGCAGAGTTGTGGGCGATATGTGATGTGCTTCAACATGCATGGAGATTTGGGTACAGACGAATAGAATTGGAATATGATAATCTTGAGGCTATTAGTGGGCTTCTGAATTCTACCTCGAGTTATCAAAGTAATACTCTCTTCGTTATAATCAAAGAATTGTTACAATGAAATTGGAAAGTTCGTCTTTGGTCAGGATGCTTATAGGTCAGTTACAGATAAAATGACGTCCTTAGCCCGCAGCTTATTAATGTGTGAAGCTCTCTTTATATACACTCCAACTCATATGGAGGATTTACTTGAGTTGGATAAACAACATATTGTTGTTGAAATATGATTATAATCCTTTGTTAATTCTTAACAAAAGAGAAGATAAACTTGATCAATAACATCTTCACTTGAATTATTAACTAAACAACTATAGGATAAAGACTTTTAATGTCAAACACATTACAAAGAGCTTTTGACAAAAAAATACCTTTACTTTGCCAAAATAAAAGAATATTAATTCAGAAAATAATAAAAGCAAATGCTAAATAAAAATTAATTTTTAATAGGTGATATTTTTGATAAAATGACAGATCTCCGTCATATAGCAAAACTTATGTGTAAATATCTACACATAAAAACTCCAACCAAAATATCGGATAAGGAAACAAATAAGGGGAAAAGGAAAAGAGAAAGGGAAGTAACCCCTAATATGGGCTCGACAAGCACGTGACATTGTTGTTGACAATAGAAAAAAAAAAGTAGGTCTGAATATTTTTACCAGCCATCATGAGAAATTGAAATGAGCAAAAGTTAGAAAGGTCAAAGTAGCAAGTACCATATTCACATGAATGGTAAAAAAGTTTAACATTTTTTTAAATAAAATAATTTATTTATTTCATCATTCATCTATTATTTGATTTTTAATTTAATTATTTATTTTTTATTAGATTTTTTATTAATATGAAGAGACTACAAGTAATAATATATGTTTTAAAGACTCAAAATCATTTAATAATTAATAATCAAATATTATGTAAACTCTTTTAGGGATAACAATTATTCTTTTAATTACTATTAAAATTTTAAAACTATTAACAATATATATTTAGATCATAAACATAATTATTTAAATTTAAAATCTCTAAAAATAATACATTTTTACTTCTTATTTAGATTCAAAATCTTTAAAAAAATAATATGTTTTTACTTGTACAACCATTTCATTAGTTGTTAAAGATATTAAATAGGCTCACAAACCCATTATATCTTGAAAAGAAAAGCGAAGTAGGAAGCACCTAAATGAAGAGCATGCAAAGGGTGTGGGTGGGGATTATTACTAGTAAAGTAGGAAGCACCTAAACGACAGAACATAACCCTTATTTAACTGTACAGTTATCCCCATCCCCCATTTGCCATTTTAGTATTTATCCAAACTGTAAAGGGCCATTTTAACCAGCAGAACAAACCCTCCTCTTTCTTCTTCGCTCTCCATTTCTCTTCTTTAAACTTACAAAACAAGGGTACAAATATCTTGTCTTATCTCCTCCTATACTCTCATCCAGTCCATTAACTTCAATTAAAAAAACACCCCCGATGGCAGCCACCACCATTAACGACGTCCCCGATGTTATTCTATTGAACATCTTCGCTTCTATCTCCGACACCCGAACCCGCAACTCCATCTCACTCGTCTGCCGTAAGTTCATGCTTTTGGACAGGGTCACGCGCCTCTCCCTTACGCTCCGCGGCAACGCCACGGACCTTTACATGATCCCCATCTGTTTCAGATCTGTTACTCACTTGGACCTCTCCTTCCTCTCCCCTTGGGGTCACTCCCTTCTCTCCTCTTCTCCGCTCGTTGATCCTCTGCTCTTGGCTCATCGCCTCCGCGTTGCGTTCCCCGCCGTCACTTCCTTGACGGTTTATGTTAGATCTCCGTCCACTATCGAGGTTTTGGTCCAACAATGGCCTGGGTTGAAGCGTGTGAAGCTGGTGAGGTGGCACCAGCGGCTCGCCTCCTGGCCAATCGGACAAGATTTCGTTTGTCTGTTCAAGCAGTGCCAGAATCTGAATTGGCTCGACTTGTCCAGCTTTTATTATTGGACCGAAGATCTGCCCCCGGTTCTTCAATATTGCCCCGAGGTATCGTCCTCGTTAGTCCACTTGAATTTGCTAACGACGTCCTTTGCTGAAGGGTTTAAATCTCAGGAGATTAAAGAAATCACCGCAGCTTGTCCTAACTTGAAGAACTTTTTGGTGGCCTGTAATTTTGATCCTAGATACATTGGGGTCGTCGGAGATGAGACCTTGTTGGCCGTGGCCACTAACTGTCCTAAATTGACTCTTTTGCATTTGGCTGATACATCGTCCTTGGCCGATGTTCGAGGTGATCCGGACAACGAAGGATTTACTTCCGAGGATGCCGTGGTTACCAGTGCAACACTGGTGGAGTTCTTCTCCGGCTTGCCGATGCTTCAAGAGCTCGTGCTTGATGTTGGCCGGAACGTAAGGGATACTTCGTTGGCGTTGGGAATGTTGAACTGTAAATGCAAGGATTTGAGAGTGCTGAAGCTGGGGCAGTTTCATGGGATATGTCTGGCGATTGAATCTCAGCTCGACGGGATTGCCTTGTGTTCGGGGCTGCAAGAGCTTTCTATTAAGAATTGCGGAGATTTGACGGATATGGGATTGATTGCGATCGGGAGAGGGTGTTGTAAGCTGTCTAGCTTTGAAGTTCAAGGATGTAAAAGGATTACTGAGAAGGGACTCAGGACAATGGCTTGCTTGCTAAGAAATACGTTGGTTAAGGTCAAGGTTTCTTGTTGCAAGAATCTTGATGCTGCAGCTTCATTGAGAGCTGTGGAGCCAATCCGTGATCGGATTCAATGGCTGCATATTGATTGTGTCTGGAACGGATTGGATGAGATAGGGAATTCCGAGCACAGCTTTCAGCACGACCGATTGGAAATGGGAAGCAGCAGCGAGTATGATGAACACATGATGAGCAGGAAGAGATGCAAATACTCTTATGACGTACCTTTCACTTTGAGGGGACGCCACAAACCAGCTGAATGTGCATTCGGATTGAGCTCCCTTGCAATATACCCTCGGCTTTCGAAGATGCAACTAGATTGTGGTGAAACCATAGGGTATGCACTCACAGCACCGTCGGGCCAAATGGACCTAAGCTTGTGGGAAAGGTTTTACCTTAATGGCATCGGCGAGTTGAGGCTAAGTGAACTAGATTACTGGCCTCCGCAAGACAGGGATGTCAACCACAGGAGCCTCTCACTTCCTTCAGCTGGATTGCTGGCGGGATGTCTTGATCTTAGGAAGTTGTTTATCCACGGGACGGCTCATGAACACTTCATGATGTTCCTCCTTAAAATCCCAAATCTCAGAGACGTGCAATTGAGAGAAGACTACTATCCGGCACCTGAGAATGACATGAGTACAGAAATGAGAGCAGGCTCGTGTAGTCGATTTGAAGCTGCTCTCAATAGGCGGATCATCCTCGACTGAAATGAAGGATCCTACCCAGATTAGATCATATTCATGCTTGGTAAGAACAAGAGTTTTTCTTTTCCCCCTTTCAATTTTAAGAAATTGTAAGAGGCTCATACATGCCCCATCCGCCATCTTTGGCCTAATTTTGTACCGAGAAGTGCCGATTGCTGCATCAGACAACATTTGATAAGCCTTTATTTTTGTTTCATTTTGTGTCATAACAAAAACATCAAAATAGGATTTGCCATTGAAAGCTAACAAAAGAGCATTAAATTATTTATTTTTTATAAAAAGAATTTGATTTTTATAATGATGGGAAATTATTAATTCTCAACAAGGTTTTTTGTTCATACAAACGGAGTTCGAACCAGCTGAGAGAACACTGGCAATAGAGTAAGAGAGAGTATCTCCTCACAACTTGGCCGCTCTTCCGGTTCTGACCAACAATCTGTAACCACCAAAACATCATAACATACTAAATTTTGCGTCAAAATGTGGTCCATACATTATTGCCTTGAAATGACAACATGATCTGAAATTAATTAGACCTGAAGATATCCTTAAAAAATTAATTAGATGACAACATGATAGACCTGAAATTCGCCTGCTTTAGGTCCTCTCAGGAATTTGCAACCGTGATCCTTCATTTGCCATGGCATAAACTACCTGAGCCAATGTTGGAGACAGATCATATAATCTTCAATAACTGAAAGATGAAAATCTAAAACAAATTGGTTTGGAAGAGATCAGATAGCATCATACTGTATATACCTTTTCTGGTGGAACACCTTCCCAGGGTCTGTTTAGTTAGCTACCACATTATCACCCCAAGGCTAAAAATGTCGCACTTCTTACTCAAGGGTTCCTTGCGTATGAGTTCAGCAGCCATCCATTCGGCTGTTTCTGCAGATGCAGAAATTTTCATGGGTCGGCTGTTCGTTATTCTTGAGAACCTCACATATCTTCACAGTCCAGTGCTTGTTCACAAGGCAATTAGCACTTTTTAGGTCACAAACTATTTCCATCCGGTCTATACACATTAACCCCCTAAATAAACAAGAGATAAATATAGTCAGTGTCACACCTTTATACATAAAAAGTCAGTCATTCAGTGCATGTATCCATGACACAATAAGCTTCTGCCCAAAAAAATTGACAATGAAATATGAAAATATTTGGTGTAAACCCCGTACATAATGCAGATAGCTAGATAGGGTTTCAAATTACAATGCTTGGTTGTACAAAAGGTCCAAAATTCTCAAGAATCAAATCATTTGGGGGGGGGGGGGTGGAAGTATGACCTCTTCCAGAAGCCAATAAGCTTGTCCGATACACACAAATACTGAAAGAGTGAGTTTCACATAAAATCTAAGGAACTGTTGCGGAAGACGGCTATCGAATAGAGCAAAATCACATTTGATAATTTGATAAAATAAAAATGAAGATAAAAGGGACACAAAATTTACGTGGAAAACCCCTAAATAATATAGGATAAAAACCACGAGCAACGGTAGAAGAATTTCGCTATTAGAAAATAGGAATTACAACTTCTCTCGATCTACCAAGGAGAAAACAATGATAATTCTCTCTTGATAAAAAGGAGAAAACAACTCTCAAGAAACTCTCTAAATTCTCTAGTATTGGAAGAAAGCTAAAATGCTTTTTGATAGTTTTGAAGCTAAATGAGTTAGGGTATTTATAGTTAAAGCTTAAGGACTAATTTGTAAATACCCTAAATTACAATGACTAAAAAATGAGATTTTACCATTACCCAAATTTAATAAAAAAATAGCAACTTTCGGTGCCCTTTTTTAATTCATTCGGTGCAATAATTTCAACAATTGTTGCTTGACTTTTCCACAATCTTCCACTTGAAGATTTGATTGGAACAATCATATCTTCACATCATTCTTTCTACCTTGTACCATTCATGTTGCTTATGTACAGAATTGAAGGCACAACACTTGTATGTGTTTTGTCCTTGAACGAAATGATGGATTCCTTGCTAGATGCAAGGCACTTTGACTGTCACAAAACAGAAAGACATACTCTTGATTGTGTCCAAGCTCCTCCAATAGCATCTTCAACCAAATTGCTTATTTACTGGCTTGTATAGCTGCTACATATTATGCTTCTGTTGTGAATGTAGCCACAACTGACTGCAATTTTTGAAACCCAACTTACAGCTCCATTAGCAATTTGAACACATCCTGTAGTAGATTTTCTTTTATCCAAATCTCTTACATAGTCAGAATCTACATACCCATTGATTAGTAAGTTTGATCCTCCGTAACATAATGCAACATTTGAGGTCCCTTTGATGTATCTCAGGATCCTCTTTATTCTATTCCAATGCTCTTTGCCTGGATTCGCCATGTACCGACTAACCACTCCCACTGCTTGTGCAATGTGGTCTTGTGCATATCATAGCGAACATTAAACTTCCCACTGCTGATGCATACGGTACTCGAGACATCTCCATTCTCTATTCTTCACTGCTAGGACTCATACTGGAGGATAATTTGAAGTTAGTAAGAAAAGGGTATAAATTGGCTTAAAATCTTGCATATTGAATCTTGACAAGATCTTCTTCAAGTAATTCTTTTGTGAAAGTCAAATCTTCCTATTACTTATGTCTCGATGAATTTACATCCCTAGAATCTTGTTTGCTGATCCCAAGTCCCTCATTTCAAATTCCCTAGCCAGTTGTGCCTTCAATTCTTTCAATATGATCTTTGTTGGGTCCTGCAACCAACATGCCATCCACATACAACAACAATATAACAAAATCGTTATCACCAGACCTCTTGAAATAAGCACAAGGGTCTGCATTAAGTTTGTTGTATCCAAGGCACATAATGAAGGAATCAAATCTCTTATACCAACACCTCAACGCATGCTTTAGCCGTACAGAGATTTGTTCAACCTACAAACCAAGTTCTTCTTTTCATCTTCTTCAAAACCTTCAGGCTGGAGCATGTAAATCTATTCTTCAAGATTTTCATGAAGAAAAGTTGTTTTAACATCTAGCTGCTCTAGACGTAAGTTCAATGTAGCACACATTGCCAAGACTACTTGAATTATTGTTAGTCGAACCATAGGAGAAAAGATTTCATTGAAATCAATACATTCTTTTTAAGCATATCCTTTGACCATCAGTCTTGCACGATACCTCTCCACTTGATCGTCACCATTTCGCTTGATTTTGAAGACCTATTTGTTACCAATTGGCTTCCTTCCTTGTGGTAGTGGCACAAGGTCCCATGTATTATTTTTATGAAGGGCTTCGATTTCTTCTTGTATCGCCATCATCCACAGTGAAGCATCTGAGCTGTTTATTGCCTCCTGGTATGTTGATAGCTCACCATCCTCTGTTAAAAGGCAGTATGCAATATTACCTTTTATAACATAATCTGAGTGCCAATTAAGACGTCTTCTCACACGATCTGATTTATGAGTTGTTGGAGCTTCAGAACTCTCTGGTTCTTTTTCATCATGTGCTGGTTCTGCTTCAGAAGAATCTCCTTGTTCAACCTCCTTTTTCATATGTATTTGTGTAGTCTATGACTTTTCAGTGCTATCAGCATCTTTTTTTCTTTGTAGCTTATATCTTCTACAAAGATAACATCCCTGCTGATGATTACTTTGCGGGCAGTGGGATCCCACAAGCGTTACCCCTTTACTCCATCAGCATACCCCAAGAATTTGCATTTCCTGGATTTTAGATCCAGCTTTGAAATTTCTTGGGAGTTGTACATCACGTACACTATACTTCTAAATACATGGAAGTTTGAATAATCAGCTGGTTTACCAGTCCATATCTCCATTGGTGTCTTCAGCTCTATTGCAGATGATGGAGCTCGATTCACCAAATAACATGCGATATTGACTGCTTCTGCCCATAATGATTTTTCTAGGCCTGCATCCTTCAACATTGCTCTTGTTCTTTCTAACAAGGTTCTGTTCATCCGCTCTGCCACTCCATTTTGTTGAGAAGTGTTCGTCACTGTGAACTGTCATTTGATGCATTCTTTCCTGCAAAAGTCATCAAATTCTTCGCTTGTGTATTCTCCTCCATTATCTGTTCTGAAACACTTGATCTTATTTCCAGAATCAAGTTCCACCCGCGCTTTGAAGTTTTTGAAAGTTGAAAACACATCTGACTTCTTTTTAATAGGGTACACCCAACATCTCCTAGAGTAGTCATCAATAAATGAGATAAAATATTTTGCTCCGTCTAGGGATGCAACTGGTGCTTGCCATACGTCAGAGTGAACCAATTCTAGAAAACTTTTACCTCTAGAATTTGATGTGTTGAATTTCAACTGGTGTTGCTTACTTGTTATGCAATGCTCACAAAAAATAAGTGATACATTTGTTAAGCCTGGAAGTAGCTTTTGCTCTACAAGGACTTTCATTCCTTATTCTGAAATGTGTCCAAGTTTTTGATGTCATAGCATTGCAGAATCTGAACTACATGAGGCAACAGAGGCTTCTGCTTCTAGCAAAGTCTCTCCCTTCAGCATGTACAAGTTTGCTGCTATCTTTTCGCCTTTCATCACCACAAGCTCTCCACGGAACACCTTTATGATTCCTCTTTGTGTTTCAATATTGCTTGCATTATTATCCAACAATCCGTAGGATAATAAATTTTTCTTCAGGCCTTTCACGTGCCGCACATCTCGAACAACTTTAATTATTCCATCATATATATCTTCAACTTGATGGTTTTAACGCTAACGATCTTTAAGGCATGATCATTAGAACTATACACAGATCCTCCTGAGACAGGTTCATAATGATGGAACCATTCTCTTCTTGAGGTTATGTGATATGTTGCTCCTGAATCAATGAGCCATATATCTGCAAATCGTTTTCTACCTTCCACGGTGGTTGACGCTTCACAACATAGAGCATCTCCATCATCTGAAGTGTTTGCGGTATTGCCTTGTGGATTGGAGTTTTTATTTAGACTCCAACAATCCTTCTTCAAGTGACCATTCTTTCCACAGTTGTAATACTTTAAATTCTTCTTTCTCCTCGACTTCGATCTACCATGTTTGTGACTGCTGTTTTGGCCACGTTCTATTGATCTCCCTCTCATCGTTGTCAACGCTTCTGCTTATTGCAGATTTACTTGTATGTCTTTCTTGTTCTTGCGCCGATTTTCTTCTTGTAGAACAGCAGCTGTAACATCATCGAAGACTAGACTGGTGGCATTATTGTTTGTCAAGTTGATGATGAGTTGATCATACGAATCTGGTAGACTTTGAAGTATAAGTTCAGCACGTTCTTGTTCTCCTATTGTACATCTTAAAGATGTAAACTGAGAAAATAAAATGTTCAGTGTGTTTAAGTACTCCGTCACTGAAGTAGATTCTGGCATACGGAGAGTGTACAATTTACTCTTAAAGAAAATTTTATTGTGCAGCGAAATGACCTCGTACAGTTTGGTGAGATGATCTCATATCTCCTTAGTTGTCTTCTTCTCCTCGATGCTTGACAATACTTCATCTGCTAATGTTAGATGAAAGTTTGTCATAGCATTCCCGTCCATTTCGATCCATTTGTTGTCATCTGTGAAATCCACCGGCCTTTCACTGATAGCTACTAGACAACCGTATTTCCTTAGGATGACCTTCATCTTCAATTTTCACAATAAGAAATTTCTCCCATTGAATTTTTTCAATATCAAATTTTGTTATCATAACTTCTATTTCGGATAGCTCATACTATTTCACTATCGTGAATAGTTCTCTGGAACTTTCAAAGAATGGGTAATACCTTCTTGCTTTCTTATGTTGGAGGATCCACCCTTTGGTGACAACCACAAAGACAATAAGTAGATATTGCACACTCTAATATGGCTCGGATACCAATTGTTGCGGAAGACAGCTATCGAATAGAGAAAAATTACAACTGATAATTTGATAAAATAAAAATGAAGATAAAAGAGAAACAAAATTTACGTGGAAAACTCCTAAATAATATAGGGTAAAAACCACGAGTAACGGTAGAAGAATTTCACTATGAGAAAATAGGAATTATAACTTCTCTCGATCTACCAAGGAGAAAACAATGATAATTCTCTCTTGATAAAAAGGATAAAATAACTCTCAAAAAACTCTGTAAATTCTCTAGTATTGGAAGAAAACTATAATGATTTGGGAGGATTTTAAAGCTAAATGAGTTAGGGTATTTATAGTTGGCGCTTAAGGACTAATTTGTAAATACCCTAAATTACAATGACTAAAAAATAAAATTTTACCATTACCCAAATTTAATAAAAAATAGCAACTTTCGGTGTTTTTTTTTTAATTCATTCGGTCCAACAATTTCAACAATTGTTGCTTGACTTTTCTACAGGAACTACTTGCAGATACAAACAGAAATATCACGTTTTCACTTGTAAAATCAGCAAAATCATTTAGATGATCGATCAATAATCAGTCGCAATGTGGAAAGCAAAACAACCTGGAATCCAAGTCTTTGGTTGATCACACTGCCTTTAGCTCATCATTAGTATTAGGGGAAAAATAAAATTTATAATTTCCGTTTACTTCCAGAAAATAAATTTTGTTTATAATTAGATGGTTACGGATATAATTTACCCATAGAAACATTTAAAATTTAAATGGTGAAGTAAAAAAATAGTCATCAAATTTTAAAAGTTATAAAATAATCATTTGACTATAGGATATTGATTTATAGAGTTTTCAGAATATTAAAAGTTACAAAATGGTCACTCGACTATTAATATATTCTAAATTCGTCATTTTTAATTAAAAAAATTGGTGACCATCTGAGTTGGACGCTAACATGTTGACTAAGGCATGAAAATATCTAATCCTAAAATTGATTGAGTTATATTTTGTGGATCAAATCTTCATTTACGTTATGTTGTCGAGCTAGTACTTGAAATATTATATCGCTGAGCCAGTGTTTAAAAGCAATTGCAATACTAATAGACATCATTAAGATATGATTTTATCATATCACAATTAACATGTTAACGTCTAACTTAGACGGTAGTCAAGTTTTTCACATAAAAGGACGAGTTTGGAATATATAAATAGTGAAGTGACCATTTTATAACTTTTATTAGTCAGAGGGCTTAACAAAATAATGTCCTATAATTAAATGATCATTTTGTAGTTTTTAATAGTTGATAGACTGAACAAAATAACATCCTATAGTAAGGAGACTATTTGTGTACTTTACCCAAATTAAATCACCAACGGATTATTGGTTAGAGGTTAATCCAAATTATCACAAAGACAATCATTTCGTAATTTGTCGAAGAGTGGAGGGAAAAGAGGGTTCACCTCAAAAGGGAAAAAGATTTAAAATGAATATTATTAAGGTATTTTATAATGATTTTTAGGTTGCGTTTAGTTCGTTGTAATTTCTTGGAATTAGGTGGAATTAGAATCTAATTCAATTGTTTTTTCATGTTTGATTCAAGTTTTCAAAAGGGTAATTGAAATCCAATTCCATCAAGGGAGGGAAAGTAAATTTCATTCATAATATGATGAAATTGAAATCCTTTGGAGGAGTGAATGTGAATTTGACCATACTACCCTCATCAATCTTTTGGTATTCGGGTTAGATTTTTAAAAAAAATTTCTGGATCATGTCGGATTTTTTTAAAAAAATTCGGGTTCGAGTCGGGTTTCTTAGGTTTGATATTTGGGTCAGATTTTTTTAAGTGTGATATTCAGGTCAGGTCGGGCCGAGTTTTTTAAGTTTGATATTCGTTTCAGGTTCGGGTCAGGTTTTTTTAAGTGTGATATTCGGGTCGGGTTTAGGGTGAAAAATACCCACTTGACCCGAAAAAAATATATAATTTTACCTTATATATTTAGAAATAATTATAATAATATCCCTCTATATATAATTTTTTACAATTAAATCATTGTTTTTATTGAATAAAAATAATTTTTTTATTATAGAGTGCGGAAAGAAGCAAGCAGCAGAAGATTCAATCCCGACTTATGAAGTGGCTCTACTGTTCTCACTCTCACCTGCCACCGCCGCCGCCAGCAGTCTCCTCCTTCTCTTCCCTTCAGCATATTGCTTCTTCTCAACCCAAAGGTACGTAGGTTTCTTCCACAACCAAACTTTCTGCAATGGATAGACTTCTCTGAATATCTACTTGTTTCTAATTAAATTAAAGCTACAATGCATTCATCTTTTCGGCATTTCATCTTCTTGAGAGGCAGGTTTTGCATTATTCAGTTATTTCTTGTTTGCTGATGTTTTGTTTTGTTCCGGGTTTCGCTTTCATCCGTTTTTCTTTGTTCTTCGAATATTTGTGAAGCTATCAGTTTTTCCTCTGCTTTAATAAAATTTTGTTCTTTCTAGGTTTTGATTAGTCGAGCTGTTTGGATTGACTTATGGGGGAATGAATAACGTTTTATCCTAAGCCATTAATTTTTCATCAATAATATCATTTCCATTCTGAATCAACCATTGTAGGACAATGACACGAAAAGGTAACCAAAATGGACCAATTTAATTATTTTAAAAAAACATTTCAGAGTATCCTCATCTGACCTTTTTTTGCCTCCTAGTCCCTTAAAATTTACTCGAAGCAATGTTAGTTTATGCCAATATTAGAAAATCATTCATTTAGTTTGAACTTTGAAGAAATTAGAAGGCAATGCTTGCCCTATTCCGCCCCCCTCTCTCTCAACCCCTTTATATTTAAGCCTATTGCGTGTTTATTAAAAAGAGTTTTTTTAATGTTGGAAAAGATGTATGAACGTGTTTCTGATACTCTTTCAGTGATCTCCCATTTCTAGTGCCGGATTGCCGTCTCATTGTTTATGCTCTTCCTTAATCCTTGAAAATTGACACAGAGAACTTGTACTAAGTCCATTGGTTTAATTTCCTGATTCTTATTGTATGTGGTTTGGCTTTTATAGGTATTTCAAAGGTTATTCTAAAGAAGGGAAAGATACAAGTTTTTAAGGATGGAAGCCTGATGGTTTATAGTGGAGCAGTTGATAGAATAATCTGTAGACCACCACCCAAGACCGGAGATATTGTGCTGGTAGCAGATGGGACAGAGAAACCTATTGGATGGGGCTTGTATAATTCAGTTTCCATGTTCTGTGTTCGACTCATGCGGCTAGAAGAGGAAGCAACAAGGTAGTTATTCAAAGAAGGGCAGGGTTTTGCAGTTAGGTTTTACTTATTCCGTAGCGTGATTAACTTAAATTATTTCATATAGAGATCCTTCTTGTGCATTGGACATGGAGAAGCTTCTTGTAACAAGAATCAATGCAGCTATAGAGTTACGCCGTGGAGTAGGGCTTCCTCCAACCACTATAAATGCATATCGTCTTATCAATAGTGAAGGAGACAGGTAACTTTGGATTATATTTGTTGGTTCAAGATTATAGGAGAATGATATTTAATATAATGTTGTTGGTGAATGGTGACAAACATATGCATGCACAATGGATGCACAGATAAATTTTCTTTTGTCCAACTTAACTGAATAATGTCAGTTCGGTCGGTTAAATCAGTTTTGCAAATTTTTCTCTCTCCTACTTTTCTTAATTTACCATATATTCTGAGGATCAAACTTCTATACCAATGTCCAGTGTAAGTGTTAGACATGAGTACTTCAAGAAAAATGAAGATTCAAAGGAATATAGAGATACGAACCACTATTCCTTTCAATTCATTTTTTATCCCTACTAAACTTTCTCTGGAGGCTTAACTTCTTATTTGCAAATTGGATGTTTCTTCTTCACTGTAGATTGTCAGGATTAATTGTCGATGCCTTTGGAGATTTAGCAGTGGTAGCATCATCTGCTGCTTGGGTTGAAAAGTACAAATCACAAGTTGAAGCATGCATCAGTAGGATTGATGAGATCAATCACATACATTGGAAACCTTCTGTTGAAATTTTAAATGAAGAAGGTTTGGATGCAGCAGATCTTAAGGAATTGCATCCATCCACTTGTCCCCAGAGAACAAAGGTAGAAATCCCTTGAATATAATAAGTTTCTGTCTTTCTGATGCACATTCTTCATCCACTCTCATGAAAGACTGTGAAGTCTGAGCTTGAAGTTATGTTTTCATACCAAGAAAACTCTCCATGTACTTCTGTCCTAGCTAATAAATAATATACTTCATTTAATTATGACTGATGTCGTGATCGATTGACAAATAAGGATTGTTCTCTTTGTATGTATTCCAATTGACTGCTACTGCCATACAATGATTGCAATCACAAACTAATGGTTTGTCATCCATTGAGTTATCTATTTGATTCCTTTGATGTTGTTGTATACTTTATCTGAAAGAAGCTTTCCTCATTTGAATGTCCCATGCCATGCATAAGAAATAGCTGGAGGCTGGAGCCTATGTGAGGAAATTGTTTATAGAATTATTTTTTTAGGCTAGATCCCTGCAGCATTAATTATTTGTTTGTTGTGTATTAGTACTATGGCACCTCATGAAATTTCAAAATAGTTTTTCTACTTATTTCAAAACACCAGTTTAACTTCTATATTAACCTTTTTATTGACATAAATTTGCACTTGTAGATTTTCTGAATGTTCTCATTTGAGGATTCTCCTTCCCGGATTGCATATCTCATTTATAAAATGAAGACTATTATTAGTTTTCGTTCTCTCTCATTTGTTGAAAAGCCGTTTTCTTGATAAGTAACTATGGTCACCCTTCTACTTTGGGTTTTTGAAATGCTTCATACTGCTCTGTATCTGTGAACTTTTGCTTTGCTGCCCCATTTAACATGAGTCTTACAAGGCATCATGTTAAATTTTGTATGTCAGGTTAGAAAATGGAATATCTTATGCAATCTCATTGGAGGGTCAAAAGACAGGAGTTTATGCTGATCGGCGTGAAAATCGAATCGAATGTTCTTATCAACGATTTCACATGGACAGAGAGTTATTGATGTTTGCTGCTACAGTGGTGGTTTTGCCCTAAATGCTGCAAAAGGAGGTGCTATGAGTATTACCGGTACATACTGCTAAAACTTTTAATGCCTACATGCACTGTTAATAGTTCTGGCTAAATAAGAGTTGCCATGGATGCTTGGCATGTTTAAAATTACCATTATTAATGTTGTAATGTTGAGTTATGCATATATTTTGGAGTAATTTTCTCAAGGAGTTTCTAGAAATATTGCAGCCAACAAGTAATGGTGAAAGGGCATTAGAAATTTGTAAGGTAGAACAATCATAACCTAGTATTATTGGATTCAATTCAATACAGGTGGGAATGTACTTTATTACTCAAATTTGGTCATTTCCCTACTTGAAATCATGTATTAAATCCTGTAGTGCCAAAATTCATTCATAGACTTTAGGTTTTGCCCCTTTTCTTTGCCTAATAGCTGAAGTTCATTGGAAGAAGACGACAATAAGTTAGGAGTTGCGGAAGAATGTTCTTTATAGCAGAATCCATCTTGTTGGGAATCAAAGTTTAGCTAAGTTGAATTGAGTTAGTGGATACTATAGGAGTTTTGACCTTAAGTTGCTTCGAGTTTTAATTATCTCGATATACCTTCTCAGAAAGCTTATCTAAGTAGATAATTAAAAACTTGTTCTCAATAATCATAGATATTTCCAGGGACTATTTATGTGATTCTCTCTGATACTCTTTTAGGTGTTGATACCTCGTTGCCGGTGCTAGAGCTAGCCAGAGAAAATATTGTTCTTAACAACATGGACCCTGGAAAGACATCCTTTTTGAGAGAAGATGCAACTGTATTTATGAGGAGTGCTGAATCATGGGATATAGTTGTTCTTGATCCTCCAAAACTTGCACCAAGCAGAAAGGTATTATCTATATTTATCATTTAGCACAATCTAATATCCCTTTAGATAACATCGGAAGGTGACCTGAATTCTGGTTTACATGTTCATGCACATTCATTCTGACAGACTAATCTGTATGCATTATTGTTGGGTTGATTAATTTACCATCTACATATGCTATCTGTAATATCGTAATATTGTACAGATATCATCTAGTGCATGAGTAGCTCAATAGATTCTTAATTATTAATTTCGAAAGGAATTAAATCAATCTTTTCTTTGCCCTTTTTTCCCGATTTAATAAATGAAGAAGAATATGCTTTATTTTCACTTCAGTCACACAAATGAATGTGTAACACTTCTCATGCATCTCGATTCTGACAGCTCTCATATATGGAAATTAAGCTGTGACTGACTGTAGGATGTAGCCCTTGCTGCGACATACTTGCTTTTATATTTGTCTCTGGGATGCTAATAATACCCAGGTTCTCCAAAGTGCTTCAGGCATGTACAGAAAGCTAAACTCATTAGCTATGAAAATAACTAGAAGAGGTGGCCTTCTCATGACCTGCTCTTGTTCAGGAGCAATGACTCAAAATGGGATGTTCTTGCGTACACTTCAGGTAAGTGATTTTTCTGTATCCTGTTCTTTCTGCGACTATTCTCATTGCCTTATTAGTATGTTACTGATACCTTAAAAATGCACTTTCATCCTCTTGAGGATAGGCGATGCAGGTCTTCCGCTTTATCTTTTTCTCTCTACCTTTTTTTCTCTTTTGACCATAACATAAGATCTTTATAAATGAAAATTTCCTTTGTTGCATGGTATCACCGCCTCTAAATTGAATCCAATTTAGTAGCCAGTTCAAAGCAGGTTACAAGAATAGGTAGTCCATGGTAAGAAAATTATTATGGATGAAAAGCTCCTAAATTTCAAATTTGTTCTCTAAAATCAGGGTGCCACTTCTATGGCGGAGAGAAAAATTACAGTCCTAAGGCAGAGTGGAGCCAGTTGTGATCATCCTATTGACCCAGCCTACCCAGAGGGTGCTTATCTTTCGAATATCCTGCTTCGAGTACCGTGACCTTATAATTTTTTTGAAGCATTGCATGATGATGAAGGTGATGATGATTCTGTCCTGTTTGCTGAATAAGAATTCTACTACTACATATGGAGCTGTTGCTGAAATTATACATAGAAATTACCGATAGAAGCTAGGTATGCTATCCCAGGTTCAAATTATAACCATCTTTTTTTTATAAGATTAGAAGGCCTCATTAAAAACCTCCTTCCTGATTAATGGAGCTTGAAAAGAAGCTCCTTAATCATCGGAAGGAGGAAAAGAGCACCTTAGATTTTCATTAAAGAAAATAAGATTACAGCCTAGATAGATGTCTTCGAAATAACCCTTACAACAATCTATAAATCCCACCCGAACAGGAATCAAATGCTAAACTGAAAAAGCAAACAACATAAAAATTAGCCTATTCTAGCCTTTGCTAAAGCATCGGCGTCCATATTAGCTGACCTTGCAACCCAATTTATAAACCCCCCCCCCCAAATATGAGATTGTCAACTATATCACTAACAAAGAATGCATAAACAACTGGGCATGAATTGACATTGTTGATCCAGTCTACTGCAACCCTGCTATCACTCTCAACAATCATCCTATCTTTAACCCTCCCTTGAGCAGACGCATATAATGAAATACCCCTCTGAATAGCTTTAAGTTCCATCATAGTCGGAAGTCCCGGACCAGCTGACTCTTGAAAAGAACCTAGGACTGAACCTGAATGATCCCTCCAAATACCTCCTATACCCGATTTCTTCCAATCACTGCTAACGGCTGCGTCCACATTCAATTTAAAAAAACCCGAAGGGGGAGGTACCCAAGGGATTGAAGAAGACTTCATAGAACTGTAGGGCGAGTAGGAGTCTGCTAATGAAGGATCCATAATCAAGGAATCCTTATGAATAGAAACATCCTTATGCTTAGCTAGGAACCAAGAAGCCAGCCTAACTCGTGATAAGAAAAATAATTCTAACTGATCAAGCTTTCCCCCTTCAAAGACAATAAAATTTCTGGCCTTTCAAATGGTCCAAATGATAGCCCTAGGAATGAAAGTCCAAATAGCATAATTAGATTTCAACTTATCCCAAGCAGTAAGAAAGGTTTTTGCATCAGCAGGAAATACAGAACTAAACCTCCAAAAATTTAAAAATTTGTACCACAAAGACCATGCAACCGAGCATGTAAAGAATAAGTGCGTGGAAGTTTCCTCAACCAATTTACAAAGAGGGCATAAATCATCCTCAATACCTTGAACACCTCTTTTAATCAATTCAGATTTAACAGCTAGCTTACAAAGCACAACCTGCCACATTAAAGATTCACTCTAGGGTACCAAATCTCTCCAAATAATGTTATTCCAGAAGCAAACATCTGATCCTGAAGCACAACTTTTTACAAGAACTGACTGAAAAAACACCATCCCCACTGCATTTCCAAAGTAAAATATCACTGGAATCTTTAGACAAAGAATAGGGAGAGATGATGCTCACCAAGTTATACCATTGTTCAACCTCCCAATCATTTAAATTTCTTCTAACTTGAACATCCCAAACCCATCCAGATGGAAGAAATTCCCCAAACTCACAAAGTTTACCGTATCTATTAGAAGAAATCGAAAACAGTCTAGGAAAAAGAAACTGAAGCGGATAGTCTGCAGCCCAACTATCTTGCCAAAAATGAATAAGCTTACCATTTCTAACATGAAAACTACACAAACTTCAAAACTTAGAGCCAAAGGAGTCTTGTTTGTAATGATTGTTAACCACCGATCTCCAAAGCCAAGAAGATTGAGGAGAAACTTTGCTATCAAACTGTAACCTTGAAAAATCAATGTTGTATTTGCTACAAATAAAATTCCTCCAAACAGAGTGTCTCTCATTTGCAAATCTCCAAGACCATTTCCCTAGCAATGCTCTATTCATACTGGTCAGGTTCCGGACTCCCAGACCACCCTCGTTCTTAGGTTTACACACATCATCCCATTTAACCCAGTGAATCTTTTTTAAACCATTTCCCCCTCCCCTCCCCTTAAAAAATTAGACATGTTCGAGTTGACAGCCTTAAGGATTGAAGCTGGAATCTTGAACATAGACAGGAAATACGTAGGCAGTGAGGACAGGACCGATTTGATCAAAACCAGTCTCCCTGCTAATGAGAGTGTAGCAGCCTTCTAACCCGCTAATTTAGTATGAAAATTCTGCATCACCGGTTCCCAAATAACAGATGCATTCTTAATTGCCCCTAGTGGGAGACCTAGGTAGTTAAAGGGGAAACTCCCAACAGAACAACCAATAGAAGTTGCCCAAGTCTGAACCTCCTCTTGGGAAATATTAATCCCAAACAATATACTTTTCTTAAGGTTAAGTTGCAGCCCTGACATAACCTCAAAAAATTTGAGCACCCTCTTCACATTCATAATCTGTGTTTTCGAAGCTCCATAGAAAATAATTAAATAATCAGCAAACTGTAAATGTGTGAGCTTGAAGGACCCTTCCTCCTTGCCAACTGTCAAACCAGAAAATAGTCCTTCAGAAACAGCTCGCAGTATTAATAAATTCAACAACTCCCCTACTAGATTAAATACCAAAGGTGAGAGTGAACATCCCTGTCTTAGTCCCTTGGCCATCGAAAATTCCTCGGTTGGAGACCCATTGACTAGCACTGAAATGGAGGCAGTAGAGACACATTTCCTGATCCAGCTAATCCAAGTCGAACCAAAACCCATATTTTCCATCACATTGAACAAGATAGGCCAATCAACCGTGTCATAAGCCTTTTTGAAATCTACTTTAAAAACACAACCCTTTAGCCCTTTCTTCCTCCAATAATCAATGCTCTCGTTAGCAATGAGGGAGCAATCCAAAATTTGCCGACCTGGTATAAAAACAAACTGTGATGGGCTGATGATATCTCCCATACAACTTCTAATCCAAGATTACCATTTTAATTGAGTGCAAAATTTCATCAACCCTTCATGATATTGTTCATACTATTTATTATATAGACGTAATTTAATAATTGGACCCAGAAAAGTCGGCTTCTTCTTTGATTCGAAGTTGAATTGTTTTTCATAAATCTCCGGTTAACGGAGAAAATCAATTTGCTAATTGTTCATGAAACGATCTATGTGCAATGAGTTATTTCAATAGAAGTATGTTTTGAATAAAATAATATAGATTCTTATCATTATTATTATTATATCTATAACTGGAATAGTGGAAACTTTAGCTTAACAAATTTTCTTCTATGATTATTTGGATCACAAATGCATAATGAAATATGAAGAATATGAAAGGATGTTGAAAAGTCAAAATTGATGCATTCAAGATTTGGCAGCTGGCGGCTGATTAGGTGATTCAAAATTAGGCACATGATTTGGTTGAAAAGTGGCATGGGAAAATTTTAAATTTAGTCATTGTACTTTAGAGTATTTACAAGATTAGTCTTTAAGCTTCAACTATAAATATCCTAACTCATTTAGCTTCAAAATCATCTCAAATCATTCTAGCTTTCTCCCAATACTAGAGAATTCAGAGAGTTTTCTTGAGAGTTATTTTTTCCTTTTTATCAAGAGAGAATTGTTATTGTTTTCTTCATATTAGATCGAGAGAAGTTGTAATTCATATTTTATCATAGTGAAATTCTTCTATCTTTGCCCGTGATTTTTACTTTATATTATTTAGGGGTTTTTTCACGTAAAATTTGTGTCTTTTTACCTTCATTTTTATTTTCTCAAATTATCAGTTGCGATTTTGCTCTATCTAATAATCGTATTCCGCAACAAGGGAAATTTCGTCTCTAATAAAAAAGAAGTGCACTACATGCCATAAAGATTGAAATGAATGCCACATGATTTGCTAATGGTTGTACATATATATTGAAAATTTTCAAAATCCTTTTTATATTTTTAAAGGATGGGTAAACTATAAATTTTATCTAGTTCAAATTTTTCCAACTTAACTAAAGGTACGGAAAACTAACCCAAAAGCCTGTAGTCATACACCAAGGCAGGAAGTAAAATGACCAACTTTCCCTTCTCACATGTATACAATCATACAAATTATAGAAATGTTGATGTTACAAATGTTATTTTAAAAAAAAAATTATTCGTATAATTATTATATTATCTTAGTTTTATAATTGGTGAAAAGATGTCAGAGGTCTCTGTACTCTTGAAAAAAATCAATGTGGTCCTCGTATTATTTTTCTCTCTCAATGTGGCCCTTTAACTCAGAAAGCAAACCTAATGTGGCCATTTGATCAATTTTTTCGTCGTTGACCGTTACAGTATTGGCGTGTCAGTTCACGGTGCTGACGTGGAGGTCCATGGCGCTGACATGACAATTCATATGTCAAATTTGAGTTACCAATTTAGTCAATCTACCATGTCATTTTTCACATTAATCTGTCACTTTGGACTAACGTGTCAGCATCGTGGATTGCCACGTTAGCATTGTGAACTATTACATCAGCACCGTAACAGTCAACAACGAAAAAAATGTTGGTCAAAGGGCCATATTAGGTTTATTTTCTGAGTTGGAGGGATATATTGAGAGAGAAAATAATACAAGGGTCACATTGATTTTTTTTTAAAGTTCAGGGATCTCTAATGTACTTTTTACCTTTATAATTTAACTTTTAATTCAAAATTTTAATTATATTTCTAATATTAGTTTTTTGAAAGATATATTTCTACAATTAAT